GCACATGTGGCGGATTTGGAAGAGAAGTTCTTGAAGCAACAGTCTAAATTACACTGGTTGAATGTGGGAGATAGGAATTATGAAACCTATCACCGAGCAGCAACGGTATGGAAGTCGAGAAACTCTATCCGTGAAATTCAAGGCCAAGATGGGGACACTATAAACACTCCAGAAGCAATCAAACAAGAGGCAGTGCGGTTCTTTAGATAGTTTCTTACCCTTACCCCAGCCACCTATGAGGGCATAACAGAGGAAAGATTGGTGAATCTGCTGGACTTTCGATGCTCGGAAAGGGAGTGTACTCAGTTGACTCGTGATGTTACTGCAGAGGAGGTGAAAAGTGTTTTATTTGCAATGCCATCTAGTAAATCCCCAGGTCCAGATGGATATACAGCCGGATTTTTAAAGCATCCTGGAGCATCATTGGACCAGATTTTACTGTTGCTATTCAATCGTTTTTCACTAAGGGCTTTCTTCCAAAGGGAATCAACTCAACCATATTAGCTCTCATACCAAAGACAGACGAAGCTAAGGAGATGAAGGATTACCGTCCAATTTCCTGCTGCAATGTGATATACAAGGTTATCTCGAAAATCTTAGCGAACCGTTTGAAAGAAATTCTCCCAGAATTAATCTCTCCCAGTCAATCTGATTTTGTCAAAGGTCGACTACTAATAGAGAATGTTTTACTAGCAACTGAACTAGTTAAGGATTACCACAAACCCAGTATTTCTCCCCGATTTGCAATGAAGATTGACATTGCGAAAGCGTTTGATTCGGTTCAATGGAGTTTCTTGCAAACCATGATGAAGGCTATGGGAATCCCATCGATATTTATCGACTGGATTATACTATATGTCTCAACACCTTCCTTCTCAGTCTAGGTGAATGGGGAACTAGCAGGTTATTTCCAGAGTAGTCGCGGGTTGAGACAAGGGTGTTCCTTATCCCCTTATTTGTTTGTCATGAGCATGCACATACTCTCAAAGCTTCTTAATCAGGCAGCGGAAGAGAAGAAAATTAGGTATCACGCCAAGTGTAAAAACTTGAGAATGACGGATCTCTGTTTTTCTGATGATATTATGGTGCTTACGGATGGTACTTTACAATCGCTGGAGGAGATCATTCGAGTGTTTGATGATTTTGCCAGGATTTCGGGTTTACAGATCAGTCTGCAGAAATCGACGTTATACCTTGCAGGGGTAAAAGATTCAGTTCGATCAGAGATCATCAATAAGTTCCCATTCTCTGCTGGACAACTACCAATACGATATCTCGGATTACCCTTGCTCACAAAGAGGATGAGTCAAGCCGATTATGCTCCTCTATTGGAGAAAATCAAAGACAAAATCTCTTCATGGACAGTAAGATACCTGACTTACGCAGGAAGATTGCAACTCATAAGTTCAGTAATAACCAGTATTACTAACTTCTGGATGGCCTCTTTCAGACTGCCGAAAGCTTGTTTACGAGAAATCAAAAGTCTGTGTGCTGCATTTCTCTGGTCAGGCCCCGAGTTAAGCACTAAAAAGTCAAAAATTTCTTGGGGGGAAGTTTGCAAACCGAAGGCAGAGGGAGGACTGGGTCTGCGGCTCCTCACAGAAGTAAATCTAGTCTGCAATCTGAAACTTATCTGGAGGATTCTATCTGCTCGTACTTCACTTTTTGTTGATTGGGTAAATAAGTACCTTATTCGAAAAGAATCCTTCTGGTCAGTTAAATTCAAACAGAATGCAGGCTCTTGGATGTGGAGAAAATTACTGAAACTCCGAGACCTAGCTCAAACCTTTCATACCGTAGAAGTATGCAGCGGTTATGCAACATCATTCTGGTATGATATTTGGACTCCTTTGGAATGATTGATTGATATTACTGGAGCGAGAGGGGTCATAGACTTGGGGATTTCCATCAACGCATCAGTTGCTTCAGTCTTTGAAAGCCACACCCGTAGAAGGCACATAAATGTTATTCTTAATTCTATACAGAATATCATTCATGATCAGAACCAAAAGAGAGTCATGGGGCAATGTGATCGTTCCTTATGGCGTTGGAGAAGTAGGGAGTTTAGACCAAAGTTTATCTCCAGTGATGTATGGGATCAAATTCGCAATGAAAAGCAGAGGACCAGTTGGCACAGAAGCATTTGGTTTCAGCATACTACACGCAAATTCTCATTTCTGTCTTGGCTTGCTATTTATAATCGTTTGATGACAGGTGACCGCATGATGATTTGGAACGCTGGAGCAACGGACTGTATCCTCTGCAGTAACGCTACAGAATCCAGAAACCACCTGTTCTTTCTCTGCGACTACTCGAACAAGATCTGGGAATCTCTAACTCAGGGGCTGCTTCAGCATAAATATGTCTCGAATTGGGACTCCATTGTTCACCTGCTTTCAAACCTCCATTCGCCACACTCAACGGCTTTTCTACTACGTTATGCCTTCCAAACCACCATCACTTATGTCTGGCGGGAGAGAAATCAGAGACGTCATGAAGAAATACTATCTCAACCTCAACGTTTAATCCAACTCATCGATAAAGAAATTCGGAATCGGATCTCTTTTATCTGAAGACTGGACGTTAAATATGAAGACACTCTTGCTCACTGGTTTAAAGCTAGAGAATAGTTCAATTATTTGATTTGTCAAACGATAAACAAAGCTGCACACGATATAAAACGGGTTTTTTTGGTTTGAATATAATTTAACATTTTTTTCAAAAAAATAAAAACATGATTCTCATTAATTAGTCCCATGTGGTTGATTGAAGTTCAGAAGTAGTGGAACAAATGTATGCGTTTGCATTTACTACGTATCATGCATTTGTAAAAAACATTATTTTTACATTTTTTATCAAACGCAAATTATGCAAAACGCACTTAGTTAGTTATTTTTAATGCCGTTTGCCTTTTATGTTTTTTTTTCTTTGATGCAAAACACATACTCTAGGGGCACTTATTAAGCATGCACCTAGTTATTTTTGTGTGTTTTGGATGTCGCATTGTGAGTCCAATATAGAGTATTACAAGTTGATACGAAGAAGTACAGTATCTAATTTTTTACGGATCGGAGACACTTGGGGCCCGAGACACTTTTATACATCTAAAATTTGTCTTATTTGATAATAACATACCTACCTGACCAGAGCCGTGCCAACTTTCACGACTTGCAGAAGGAAATTTTTTTAAAAATACTCTTATTCAATAATATTTTTTTTTTTGTAAAAATACATATAACACAAAGTCAAACAATAAAATAAAATTAATGTACTTCTAAAACATCATTTTTCTTTTTATAAAATTGTTTACCAAACTTTCAAATGGATAAAATAAACATATTTTTTAATATTTTTTTGACATAATTTAGTGAACAATAAAATTTTATCAGAATTTGTCAATATGAAATCAGTCACAAAGTGAAAGAAAGGACAAAAGTCTATATTTTTACTCTAATTATTTAGAAATAACAATTATTTCTATTTTTCAAATTACTTAAAACAAAAATTATACTTAAATGTTGTTGCTTTATTTTAATTTATTTTCTTCTAAGTCCATATATAGTCTACTTATACTGTAAAGTAAAGTGCTATCATACCATATGTATAGAATTTTTTTAATATTTGAGATCATCTTAGTATAACTAATAAGGGTTATTATATAAAATTGTTAAAATTGCTGCCCTATAACAACAACAAAAATTTGCTGCCCTAAGCAAATGTTTAGTTTACTTTAACGTAGGCACGGCTCTGTACCTGACCAGGAAAAAAATAATTATATATGCTAACAACTTATATTTATGAAACAATCAAACAACATTTTGCAGAACCTCATGGTAACTTTTTAACAAAAAAAAGAACCTCTGATAACTAAGCTCATGCATGCTATTATCACTAGCAAGTTCTTACTCATCAGAAATTGTAGATGGATCGAGACTCCAGACTCGCATCAGAAGTCATGCTTTAGAAAAGTAAATGCACCCCATCATATATGGGTTCCCTTGGCCGCAATTAACATTAATCAAATATAACAGACGCAACATCAATGGTAAACACGGACATGAACAAAAACATTGAATGGTATTGGTATTGGTATGGCTCCGACATTATATTATTATATACATTCATTTTTGTTAATTAATGTTTTAAATTTTGAAATTTTAATTAGCTTAAATTAATTACACATTTCAAAACATTAATTTAAATACACAATTTTATATTTTGTAATTTCTTCACAGCGCATATATATATCACATCCGAATTTGTTGCTTAATTTATTTTTACATGTGTGTTATGCATATCCTAATCTTGTAACATCGATAAATTTTCCTTAAGTATAAACGGTAAGTTTGATTTGAAATCTGTAAAAGTATGAGAACAAAACTCCAAAAGCAAAAACAACTTACAAAATATATATATATAGGAGGAGTGGTTTTGTGGTGTGATTTGCCGAATAGACAACATCCAAATTGATTATTATATATGAGGAAAAGAAAGTGAGACGCTCATAGTTTTTGCTATATTTAGGGTATCTGCAATGCAGAACTTCTTTAAAGTTCTAGGAAAAAAAAAAAGAAAAAAACTTTTTTTAATGATGTGGCGAGTTTGAAGCACAGAGATATCTTTGGGCTGGAGGAGCGACTCTTGCTGACATGGCACGACGTGATTTGTCGATTTTGTTTTTTTTAAATTGTTTTTAAAAAAAAAATTAATAATAAAAAAAATTAAGAACTTTTCTTCCGGTATTGCTGATGCTCTTTAATTTATAATTGAAAAAGGCATTCAAACTCGATTGGATTGAAAAAAAATAAAAGTATTGTCTCAAACTACAAAGATGGCCCCAAAATGTAATAATTGAAGACACACGCATTTGCATTATTGAGAACCGAAACGTGTGAATGGAAGCTAAATTCAGTTTAAGTTATCAAGATTTAAATTGTTCATTACTTTACCTCTAATTTGCTTTTAGTTCATTGGATAAGCAATGTGATTTGCAACATTAATTAGTTTTGCCTATTGACAATGTAATCAGCGAGAGACAACAAAGGAGCCACCTTGTCTGAATCAAACCCTTGAAGATGTTCTTGCGCTTCTCTGTTCAACTCCTCAGCATATTCTCTCGACTTCTCCACTCCCATCACTTTCGGATACGTCAGCTTTCCGGCGATTATATCTTTACCGGCAGTTTTCCCTAGCTCATGTGACGACTTAGTCACATCGAGCACATCATCCACCACTTGAAACATCAGCCCAATGCATCTCGCGTATCTCCTAAGCCTCTCGATCTCTCCATCAGACCCACCTCCCATTATAGCCCCCGTGACCGTCGCCGCTTCAAGCAAGGCTGCTGTTTTGTGAATATGTATAAACTCAAGATGTTCCAACCCGGCTACGTCCTCTTTCAAGCTCATGCCTTCTCCGGCCAGATCCGCCGCTTGACCCGCAACAAGCCCTTCCGTTCCTACCGCTTTCGCCATCTCCACAACAGCTAGAAGAACCTTCTCTGGAGGAACCCCTAATGAAGTGGATGTCGCAAGCTTCTTGATGGCCAAAGCTATGAGTGCATCAGTTGTCAAGACGGCTATATCCTCGCCGTAAACTTTATGGTTGGTGGGTTTTCCACGGCGGAGACTGTCATCGTCCATACAAGGGAGATCGTCTTGGATGAGAGACGACGCGTGAATCATCTCAACCGCACATGCAGCCGGCATAGCGGTTGACTCTTGGCCGCCCACGAGCACGCATGCAGCCAAGCAGAGCATTGGCCTTACGCGTTTCCCGCCAGAGAGAAGCGTGTACCTCATGGCCTCACGGATCTTGACTACTGGCTCGCAGAGAGGAATGGCCTCGTCTAGTGCTTTATTGATGGACTTAGCCTTATTGACCATATACGACATGAACTCATAGTCATGGCTTACGGTTGACGTCAGATGGCGGATAGACGGTTTAAGGTGACGGGTCAACCGCATCGTAGACGAAACCACAACGTAACGTGGCTGTAGGAATCTCCAAAACAAGACGTTGAAAGAGAGAGAGAGAAATATGGAGATGAGAGTGTAAAACAAGAGCTTTCCGATTTTCCATCTTGTTGTTTTGGTCTTTTTTTTATATGGAAATGGTAATAATAATAACATGTTTATGGTGAGAGATAAATCGAGAGAACACGTTTTACTGCTCCCACATTTCATTTTCAGGTTATGGCAAGGGATGTCCTACATGTGATGTGAACACTGCTGACTATCCACTTGCCCTGACATCGACTTTAATGATGTGTATAAAATCTCCTCCTTTTTTTTGGAAATATGTTGAGAAAAAGACACTTCTTTATTCCTTTTTATTTTATCACCCAAAACATATATGTAATACTAAAAGTAGGAAATTTTTTTTTGTGGTGAAATGCTAAAAGTAGAAACTTAAGCATTTAGAAACGTTAACTGATATGCTGGTTCTTGAGTTTAATCGATTTTATCAGTATGTGTTTTTGTTACAGATTTTATAGTAGTTCACTATCCTGAAATAGTGACAAGATAGCCTAATGACTTCCTCTACGTGTGTTACCACCACATTGAAATAAGAAATAATAAAGAAAGATGTAGTAGATGCTTTTTGGATAATGCCCAATCTATAAAGTTAGATATTAATATTTATGTTGCCTCTCCAAGATGTTTGATTTTTCAATATATAGCTTGCTATATATTTTTTTTTAATTTTCCATTGAATCATGGTTATGTTTAATTAGATCATCAAACATAAATAGCAATGATTAGAAGTTTAAAGGTTTTTCATTTTGAAAATATCCATATGTAGAATTATTTCTCATATTTTTATTCCACACATGCATCTACTCTATATGATTTTTAACCTATAGAATAGTTTTTATAATTTTATTGTACATAAATAATTTTTTGCGTTTGGTTGGGAATTTGTTACTTTTGATATTCTTAAACATATAAAATTTTCTCATATAATAGCCTATATATATTGACATGTTGTGACGACATTTTAAAACACAATATTGTATAGTTTTACATTCGCTACTATAAAGAGAAAGATGGAGATGAGAGTGTAAACAAGAGCAGCTTCTCCTTTTCCATCTTTGACTTTGGTTTGATCCTTTAAAGTTGCAATGGTGATGCATATTTATGGTGGGACTGTGGGAGGACTATTCTTTTAATTAATAAGCTAATCACGTAAGTGTATTGATTTCTTGAAGTAATTGAAAATTCAATCAGGTAAGACACAACTATATTTATAGCGAGAGTCTGAGAGGTTTATTCTTATAAAGTAATAAACCAATCACGTGTAAACCTGAAAATTCAAGTCATGTAAAACAATTTCTCTGGAATAACAGCGTAGAGGCACGTTGGCACCGTATAGAAAGCTGGCTTGCTGCAGGATAACATTTTTTTTATAAATAAAAAGAAAACATAACTCTAATTAACTACCCCATGTGGTTGGTTGAATTTGAGAACTAGTGATTGAGGAATAATGTCTACACTGATAAAAAGAACATTTAGAAAAAAAATGGATGATGAACTTCCACAATACAAACATAATCACACTTATAAATGGGTGAAGGTGTTGAAAGTATATACGGCTGATTGAGAGTAAGATACGCCTTCCCTTAACAATAGAGTGGATTGTAGTTTCGAGGGCCCAAAGCGAGTTAATAAATTAGGAACTACATGATAAAAGAAGATTAAATCAGCAATTTTTTTTTTTTACAATAGTAGCTATATTAATTGAGGCCCTTAATATGTACTTATTTCATGTTTATAAATGTAATTGGGGACCTAGGCAGATTTTCCCCTGAATTTAATATATGAAATAATAACATTTTGCTGACCCACAAAGGCACAAACTCTCGAACTCATGCAATAGCAGACTATTACTCACAATGGATTGGAGAGGAGATGAGTAAGAGACCATTTACCAAATTTCCACATTGTTTTAAATATCCAGAATTGGTAATTCGTTATTATATATGCGCATATTTCCCTCTTAATCTATTATTATTCGTTAAATTTCATATGTCATCTATCTTTGTAGGTCTCCAAGCAATAGCAACCTGCCACGTCAGTTTTGCCTGCTGACAATGTAATCAGCAAGAGACAACAAAGGAGCCACCTTGTCTTGATCAAACCCTCGAAGATGTTCCCACGCTTCTCTGTTCAACTTCTCGGCATATTCCCTCGACTTCTCCACTCCCATCACTCTCGGATACGTCAGCTTTCCGGCGATCAAATCTCTACCGGTGGTTTTCCCTAGCTCCTTGGACGATTTGGTTACATCAAGCACATCGTCCACAACTTGAAACATTAACCCCACGCATCTTGCGTAGCTCCGAAGTCTCTCGATCTCTTCATCACACCCACCTCCCAGTATACCTCCCATAACCGCCGCTGCTTCAAGCAACGCCGCCGTTTTATGAACATGTGTAAACTCAAGATGCTCCAGTCCCATGTTGTTTTCCTCCAGTCTCATCCTTTCTCCTTCCAGATCCGCCGCTTGACCAGCCACGAGCCCGTCCGTTCCAACGGCTTTCATCATCTCCGTCACAGCTCTCAAAACCCTAGCTGGAGGAACGTTTTCTGACGTGGCGGCCACCGTGTGTGTAACGGCGAGAGATATAAACGCGTCTGCGGTTAAGATCGCGACGTCTTCACCAAAGATCTTGTGGTTAGTGGGTTTTCCTCGACGGAGGCATTCGTCGTCCATACAAGGGAGATCGTCTTGGATAAGCGACGATGCATGGATCATTTCGACCGCACAAGCCGCAGCCATAGCGGTTGACTCGTGGCCGCCGACGAGCTCACAAGCTGCGAGGCAGAGCACCGGCCTGACGCGTTTGCCGTTAGAGAGCAGCGAGAATCTCATTGCCTCGCGAATCTTGAGTACTAATGGGTTAGTACCGAGTGGAACGGCGTCGTTTAGTGCCTTGTTGATTGACTTAGCCTTACTGGCCATATAGCAGATGAAATCAAAGCCCTCACTCGGGTTTGGGGCAGTCAAGATTCTGCGATGGTGGAGCCGCGACAAAGTTGCACGCGCAACCGTAAACGCATTGTAACGCGGTCGCATGATTCTCTTGTCTTCAAAATAAGAAACGAATATAGGAGAACAAATGAAGACTCAGAGTGAAACACAAGATCAATTCTATTAACAAAACACTCATACACAAAAGAGATTCTGAAGTTTCCAAATCTGTGTGAGGTTAAGGTTTGATTTTGACCTTAAAAAGACAGTGGACACTGGAATCGTGCTCATCTTGGAATCAAATCACGTTTCTCGAAATTTTTAAGGATTTTTTTTTATGTTGCACACCAGAGAATAATGTTAGTTAATAGTAGTCGTATAGTGATATTTAATTAGGAAAACTTGCTACATGTTAAGAAGATTCATAATATTATTTATTTAATGACAATTTGGTGCATTGATATTATCAACAGACGAAATGGTATCGCAAAAAAGTTTCGAATAACACCTGACTACACCTTTAAAAATATTTTATATTTCAGATTTGCGTCTATATATGGATGGATCAACAGTTAACGCACAGCACATCATGTGCAGCACATGTGGAGTTTAACCCCAAATATACAATTACTCATTAAATAATAATAAGAAACTTTCAGATAATAAATCGATTATGATGCAAAATGGAGGAAGTGCACTTGATAAATTGGATATATCCATATAAAAGTATGACATGATTATTATAAGAAGAAGAAAAAAAATGACATAATTCTCTTTAATTGTAGTTCCAAAAACAAAAGACATGATGTCGTTGATTGAAATTGAAAAGTGGTGTAAACACCACATGTTTACGTTTGCATGTCCAACTAATTAAAAGGGAAGATTTGTGAAAATGGTCCAAAACGAGAATTTGATATGGAAAGAGTATACATAATTGTAACATGGAAGAAGAATTTTGCTCTCCTCTCACTGAATATATACATTTGTATTGTCATTAGGCTTTTTGAGCATTAGTTTTTGCCACATCAGTTTTGTCTGTTGACAATGTAGTCAGCGAGAAGCAACAAAGGAGCCACCTAATGTGAATCAAACCCTTGAAGATGCTCTCTCGCTTCTCTGTTCAACCTCTCTGCATATTTCTTCGACTTCTCCACTCCCATCAGCTTCGGATACGTCAGCTTTCCGGCAATCACATCTTTACCGGCGGTTTTCCCCAGCTCATCCGACGACTTTGTCACGTCGAGCACATCATCCACAACCTGAAACATCAACCCAATGCACCTCGCGTAACTCCGAAGTCTCTCGATCTCTTCATCAGACCCACCTCCCATTATACCTCCCATCACCACAGCAGCTTCAAGCAACGCCGCCGTTTTATGAACATGTATAAACTCAAGATGTTCCAATCCTTCTTGGCTTTCCTTATCAAAGCTCATCCCTTCTCCGACCAGATCCGCCGCTTGACCCGCAACGAGCCCTTCCGTTCCTACCGCTTTTGCTAGCTCCAAAATGGCTTGGAGAACCTTCTCTGGAGGAACGCCGAAGGAGGTAGATGTGGCCACTTTCTTGACAGCCAAAGCTATGAGTGCATCAGCAGTCAAGACTGCTATATCTTCGCCAAAGACTTTATGGTTTGTGGGCTTTCCACGGCGAAAGTTGTCGTCATCCATACAAGGGAGGTCATCTTGGATGAGAGACGACGCGTGGATCATCTCAACCCCACACGCAGCGGGCATTGCGGCTGACTCTTGTCCCCCCACGAGCTCGCATGCAGCCAAACAGAGCATTGGCCTTACGTGTTTGCCGTCCGAGAGAAGCGTGTACCTCATGGCCTCACGGATCTTGAGTATTGGCTCTATGAGAGTAACGGTGTCGTCTAGTGCTTTATTGACGGACTTAGTAGGGGTTATTGGTTCTTGTATTTTGGTGTATTTAGAAATCTTCTTTGGATTTGATAAATTTATTGATTTCAAAATCAGCAAAATAGAAAAAAATCAAATCCACTCAAATACCAAGGTTAGACCTTGTATTTGAGTCTTTGTATTTTAGTCATGAAAATCCTTCCAAATCCATTCAAATTCAATTAAAACTCAAATCTTTATAATATTTAAATTTTAAAATGATAGAATCAATAACACTATATTTCATTATGGATTTTAAAATCATAGAACCACTAACACTATATTTTAATATAGATTTTAAAATACAAGAACCAATAACACTGAATTTGGTTTGGATTCTCAAATCCATTAAAATACAAAAACCAATAACACCTTCTTAGACTTACAGCTCATATACCACGTAAACTCAGATTCATCGCTCTCAGCCGTCATAGAGTGGTTTGTCGACGGAGGATTATGGAGCTGTGGCGCAGACGTAACGGCAACGTAACGTAACCATAGGAATCTCCAGAACAAGATTACGAGAGTGAGAAGTACGGAGATGAGAGTATAAACAAGAGCTTCTTGAGTTTCCATCTTTGGATTTGGTTTTGTTCCTGTTTAAATCGAAATGGTGATACCATATGGTTTTATAGTGGAAAGGTTTAGTGTAATCACTCACGTAAACACAGCGCTTCTCTCGTTGTAAATTGTAATACGAAGTCATCGATGACAGCTTCGAGGCACGTTTATTGTAATTGAGAAGTACTTTAAGTCTCTAACAAATGTTTACGTTTGCATCTGCTATACATTTGTAAAAACATTTTTTTTTTCTTCTCAAACATCATCTAGAAAATATAATGTCAAAGTAACTAACATTAGGCTACATCTCATCAAGTGGGTCACCGTTCGGCATCGGGAAATAGATGATAACATCAGTTTAAGTATATTTCATTAGAATTCCTGTTGTATTACAAAGATATCTTGTAAAGAAACGTTTAAATTTTGGAAAGGAAGATAACAATTTTAAATGTAGAAAAATAATAAATGAATTACCAACTTAACGTTTATACAAAGACCAGTTTGCACGCCACAAACGCAATATTCAAATAAAAAACTATGGAACATTAATAACTCGAATGAGTAAAAAAGATACTAATAATCAAAGTGCCTTGTGGAATAAGGCATTTGATTATTTTTATTAGCAACAAGTGGAAAATTGGATAATAAACATGAAACAGATGTGTGTGTATATGATCAATCAGATCCGAGAAGGGTCTTTTCAAGTTATGCACTTTTGGTATGGTTCTTCTACATACCTTCTTCAGTAGCCGAGTTCCTCTGACGCAGAGGCTGTAATGCAGATTCTGGCAACGTGTTGTGCTTTAGATTCTGTTTTATTGTTGCCATTTCTAATTTGTGTCTCCTCTTCAGCTTCTCCATTTTCTTCGTTAGCTTCTCGTTTTGTTCTTCTACTTCATTGAACTTTTCCTGCAACCAATTCATAGTGGGAGCCCAAAACTCAGAGAACAATCTCACACTAACGCACCAATGGTTCATTGATTAAAATATGAAATTTTTGTTTGTTACCTCAGCAGATGATGCTGTCTGCTCGGCTTCTCTGAGTCTAACAAGAACTTCTCCAGCAGTATGAACAGCTTCAGCAGTATCCCTTAGTTGAATCTTGAGACTTACGTTCTCCTTCTTCAACAAATCCCTTTCTCTTTCTCTTTCTACTCTAAGTGCTGAGAGCTCAGTAGCAAGTGATTTAGCGAAACGGGAACCGCAACCTTTTTTCCCAGCCTTTGCTACTGCCTTCTTCAACTCTGTTATCCATTCCACTGTTGCTTTATGCCTTGAGCCTAAGTCGTTGTACTTCTCTTGTAGCTCTGTGTAGTGTTCAACAAACCTGGCATGACCAAGAACAGCTCTTTGAAGTGCATCCTCTAACTCCTCAGTAGTCAGTTTCTCTTGTTTAAGTTCTGTTTCGGCTTTCTCTGCTCGCCTGCGTTGTGTTTCAATCTCAACTCTGAGTTCGTCGGTCAATGATATCCACTCGCTTTCCATTTCTGTGCACCTAAGTCGTTCTTCCTCCAAGTCTTTTCCAGCATTCTTGTTACGTAGTTGAAACGAACGGGCTAACAAAGATGATCTCAGTTCGTCGGTGGACATTGTTGCACGCGTCTGCAACTTACTTTTCAGATCTTCAATTTCTTTGAGCAATGCCTCCTTCTCGCCAACATCGAAGTTTGTCTTATTGGAGTCGTCAGCTGGGAATTGTTTTACTTCATATTCTTCAACTATGACTTCTGCTTGGTCACGCTCAACAACATCATTACAGCCGAGAGGCTGCCATAGAATTGGGATATACATAAGTTAAACTCTGGCAGATTTTCTCCACTATACATAATTTACAAAGTAAATGATGCAACAAACCTTGTTTTCATTTGCTGAAGGAAGTAGTTCTTCTGTCTCATTCTCAGTTTGAAGTTTGTGTTGCTCTACCTAAATATATAAAGGTGACCAGAGTTGCTTAACCATATATGTGCTGATTCAATTTTCAAAAGACATAATACACAGAAAACTGGTTTACCAGGCGCATTAGCTGCTCAATCTTGGCTGCTTGCTCTGTGCACAAATTTTCAAGCTCCTGCTGCTTCTCAATCAACCCTTCCGCTTGATGATATCCACCCTGATTCACAAAGAATTTCACAATGTTAGCTTCGGGGTAGCTCTCATTTCAATTGATATCCATAAACATATTTTATTTCACAAGATATACTTACTCCTTCAACTACGCTTGATAATTTAGAGTTGTCAAGAACAGTACAGTTGTTCTCAGATTTCTGTCTGCAAGAAGGACAGAGTTGTGACAGTGGCAGTCGATCATCCTGCAGTATCTCTGTGGAAGGTTGCATGGTCAAGTTATCAGAAGACAAAGAAACTGAGCATCGGTTTGATGCAGGGTTCAGCGGATTCTCAATAATGTCCAAGCCTCTCCGCAGACTTGCAGCTAGAGATTCTGTAGAACCTGTGAATATCTTGCTTCCACGTAAAGATGCCCTGATATGTTGGCTCTCTGCAAGACACACGGATCTTATGCTCTGTGCCACGCTATTCTGAATCCTGAGACATGAGGAAGAAAGAGCTATGCTCTTCCTTAGAGAGTCTCTGATTTTAGGAGACTCTGACTGGATTGGTTCTTGCAAGGTTAATGATTGACGGCAAGGATTGATTGATATGTTGTTTTCCAATGCAAAGTCCTTTATCCTCGATTTCTCAGTTGATTTATTTGTTGTTGCAGCACAATCTTCGTCAAAAGATTCACCCAGGTCTTTCTCTTCAGCCTCTGAGTATATCTCATCATCATCCATTAGCTCTGATTCACCGAATGCTGTTACAAAGGAAGAGCTGACTGATTCTCTGTTGACAGGGAGCTTCTTTAGTTTCTCGTTGTATGAACCACGTAAGGACTTGATCTGCTGATGCAACTTCCTTACATCATCCTCATCAACCGTTATCTCTTCCTCGTCACTATCAATCTTTGGCAGCATCAAAGACCGGTTAAGACTAACTCTTAGTTGATTCCAACTTTCACGAGCATTCTTTGCTCCGAAGTGATCATTTTCACTCCCAACAGAAGGACATGCATCAGCTTTGGCTCTTATAAGTTCTTCCTGAAAAACAAATGAAGCTTTGATTGACGACCAACTTCAACCAAAAACAGAAAAGGAGGAAAGGGTTGGTGGAAGACGAGATTAAACCTTTAGAAGACGAATCTGGTCACTCAAATCATTCACATCTTCTTCCGAGATCTCATTTATCACTGGCTTGTTTCCCATGGATTTAGCCCGTTCACCAAATCGAAGGGTGCTCATTGTTCTTTTTGTGTTTCTGCGTTACACAAGCAAACTCTTTTAGAACACATAGTGCGCATCCTGTCATTTAAATACTCACTGTTTTAAACTTTGCACTTTCAGAAGAAGCATAAAATTGAATGGTTACAGAACCTAGGATTTGCTATCGTTTTCTCTGTACAGGCAGCTATGTTTATATTTAACTAATAGTAAGTGTGAACAAGGTGAAGCAAAATACTTGTCGCTCGGAAAGATGTTGCACAGGATAGTGAGTTTTGAGTTGCCACCAAGCGATTCTTGTAACAAATGCGTCAAACAGGAGGTTTTGTGTAGACTGCGGTCAGCTATTCCAGGGTGGACGTTTTTCGCCAGAGCATTTACAACATGACTGCACCAATAGTAAGAATGACAAAGTTAACAGATCACTAATGAAGTTGTTGATGCCTTTTTGTTCCGTATTTGGGACACTAACTTCTTAATTGAGACCTATAAAAGTAACACAGGGGATTCATAAAAGTTATACCCCAGCTCTGATAAAGACTTCTTCAAGAATTTCTCTTCCTCCACACAATGCTTTGTAGCATCATGTTCATTTGTTCCCGCTCCAGCAAGATCAACAAGGTTGATCCTGCTCGTTCTGGTGGTATTGAAACAACTTGCCGAAGCTCCCTGCCAACAGATAATATTTGATCAATCATACATCAGAATTGAATAAGCGAGTAAGTTGCAAACTGACTATACCTTGCTCCAAGACTCGATAATGAAGGAAAGTATGACATGTGATCGAGAACTTTGAAAACTTGTGCTAGTTGCTCCAACTTTTCTGCTTGACAGGCCCTGAAAAGAAGATCAGAGTGCACACCAAAACATGAGATATGGACTTGGAATAAGTGAAGAAATTAACACTCCAACAACAAAGCTGAATGTGCAGTGTGCAAATTTTCATAACAGTAGTGAAACAATATAAATATAGTATATTCATAACTTAGAAGTTAGAACACTTAAATACTCAATATATGAAGCTGGCATCATACCTTCATCATTATTTGAGCAACATCCTCATAGCTATCTACATATTCCCCAGTCAAGTTTTCAACATGAACACCATTCTTTGCATCATCCTTTATCTGCCACATATGACACAATAAGTAATAAAATATTAACACTCAACAAATATTAACATAGGGAAACAAAGCTGTAGTAGATTAGTGAAGCCAAACCTTAAGGTTTCTCTGGGTTTGATCGATCAAATCACTGATTTGTCCATTGTATATCTGCAACAAGAAGGTTAAGCAACCTAAATTAGCAAATTCTAGAAGCAGGTTTCTTCAAAAAGAATCCTTTTTCATATGAGTTTGGAAAAGGCACCTCAAGAAAGGAACAACGGCACTGATAGTTTACTTCTTTTCCCCCGGACTTCATCTTCTCCTGCATAATAATGGTGAAAGAATGATGCTTTTTGATGAACCAGATATCACAGAGTCTCATCACCTAACAAAAGCTTTAGTAATAGTAAGAACTAAGAAGCACACAACTTACTCTCTGGATTTCAGAAAACAACATCTGAAAGATTCGAGGCGCGAGTCCTTGCTCGCCTTTAGGAGATGGATCCTCAAGCATTGAACCTGCTGGACCCCACATTGTGTAGGTCTTGCCGCTTCCATTCTAAAGGATCAAATATCAAGAAAACAACAAAAAGGATTAGCTTTCAACTTCGTATGGTGGTTATTTGGTTTCAGTAGCTCCAAAAACATAACCATTCAGTACCTCTCCATATGACAGCACACTAGTGTTGTAACCTGATAATGCATCCCGAACCAAAGGAACACCAATTTGCTGAAATACATCGTCCTGGCATCAACAAGTAAAGAAGTTTAAAAACAACTTTGGCTTCTCCGAATTCACTAACTGGTGGAAAAGGGTATCCACTTTAAAGGAAATGAACACAATAAAAGTAAAAATCATCTCCTTTCTCTTCAACCTAATCGAAAACTCATCCAAATTGTGTATGTGTGTGTGAGAGAGAGAGAAAGACGAACCTGGTTTAGATTTGAGTCGAGAACCGAGTCGAATGTGAATTGCCGATCCCTAACAGAATATGAATCTTTGGAAACTTTTTTCACTGTCCAGCAATACTCTTTTGTAGGTTTAATCCTCACCATAACCTAATAAAGACGATGCCAATTTTTTAAGGAAATTTTCTAATTTCGTCGAGCAAAGGATTCTCCAGAAATGGAAACAACCAACCTTTACATGTGGATCCGAGGCTTCTTCTACCTCATTCCGAGTTTTCATTGCCGTTATCCCTCTTTGCTGATCCCACAAAAACAAAAACAAAAACGCAAACCCCAACAAAAATCAGATTGACCCAGCAATTCAAAATCAAACAAAGGTACGAAAATTTCAGAGTAGGATCTTCAGGTTACCCGAGAAGCTGACACTTGACCTCGGCGGTCGGAAGAATCCACCTTCTTCTTGAAGGCCGGCGATTTATAAACAGATTTGTTTCGGGGAATATGGATGTTTGGATCGAGAGGAGGAGCGTTTTCGATGTCGGATCTAGGGTTTAAGTGGGCAGATACGGATTTGGGAAGGAAACTCCATTTTGAGTCTGCCATGGCTTCCCCCAAATGACAAAGCTTTCGTCTTTCGAGATCGATCCGGAGAGTGAGAGAGTTAAGGGAATGAGCGAGAAACGAGAGATTCAAATTTGAACGGAGAGGGAAAGACTTGAGTATAATGATTTTGCTTTTTTTTTCTCTACTTTTCTTTTTACAGATAACGAAACCTGATTTTTCGATTTCGGATCTACTTCACTCGACCGTTGTCAGATTTTCTTTTTGAATTCACGATTCTATTTTTAAAATTTTAAGTTTTCTTTTAAATTCATTGTTGACTGTTACAGACTGGACAAAGTCAAACCTGATTCATTAAGATAATTTATCCTTCTAAACATTTTTATTAAACAAATCAGGGCATTATTATGCTCTTTGAAGAAGATGAACAGAAAAAGTGAGACCAAACTTCTCTTGCATGTTTTTCCCCAAGTTGAGTGTCGGAAGCTAAAAGAAGAAAGGTTTGGTTCGAGGAACTGGAGTGCAAGTAAGCGGATGAACCATGGTTAGGTTCATTCCTTGAACAGTCTCTTCCATGTTGACTTTATCCCCTTTGATTCTCCAGTCAAAGCACTGCACCATCACTCCTATTGCGATTCCTACAAAGACATAAGCTAGATTTGTTCCAGGACAGCCTCTCCTTCCACTACTGAAAGGCATGTACTTCAGTGCTTGCTCTCTCTCGTCTTCTTGTCCTAATCTTGAAGAACCTAGAAACCTCTCTGGCTTGAACTCATTAGCATCTTCCCAAGAATCAGGATCTCTCATCACAGCGTAAGCATTCACAACAAGAACTGTCTTCTCCCGAATGTAGAATCCTTTGATCTCACAACTTTCTTGGAACGTCCTTACCGAGAGAGGCGATGGTGGGTGCAGTCTTAGCCCTTCCTTGACCACAGCTTGCAAGTAAGGAAGGTTCGGTAGATCAGTTTCTTGAATCAACCTTGTTAACCCAACTACTGAATCGATTTCTTCTCTCAGCCTCTCAAGAACAGTAGGGCTATTAATGATCTCGGCCATTGTCCATTGTGTTGTTTGCACTGAGGTATCAGTGCCTCCAACGAAAAGCTCCTGCGGTGAGAGAACATTTGTAATTAGTAATTTCTTATTTGGATCATCAAATGAATTCGACATATGAGTAAGTAACATTTACCACGAGAAACGACTTGATATGATTCCTAGTGATCTTATACTCTGCGTCTTCGTCTTCATAAGCTGCCAACAAGACGTCCATCATATCCTTACCTTGATGCTCCTCGCGCAGCTTCTCTTTGTGTTCCACAAGCATCCTCTCTAGCAGCTCACTGAATCTGTTAGAAACAGTCATTATATCCTTTTTATATAGTTGGATCCCAAGCTTCTCAAGCGGTCTGCGAAGTATAGCCGCAAGGAAAATCTTCTTGGTCAAGGCATATACTTCATTCACCAAGCCCCTGACTCTCTCTGCCTCACCGTTCTCCTCTGATAAAGTCCTTCCCATGCTCATCCTGCACAAGGTTTTGGTCATGAGAATCATCGCTTCCTTACCGATCTCAACCTTCTCACTCTTCCTCGCCTTATTGAGAATGCTCTCGTAAAACCGTTGCAGCTCTTCAGCACGAACACCTCGTGACTGCTCCAGCGCCTGTGGTCGAAGCAGCTTAGTGGCCATGAGCTTTTTCATGAACTTCCAGTAATCTCCGTAGGGAGCGGTGAAGAAGCCAGAAGATCCAAACACGAGGGACTCATCGATTGCAGGAACACCACGAGAAGAAACGTTCACGTCGTGGGCCCTGAAGATCTCGTAGGCCATAGAGGCAGATGATACAAGGATGATGGGGACACTGAAGATGCGGATATGGAGGAGAGGTCCATACTTGGAGGACAGTGTCTGAAGAGATTTGTGGGTTAGAGAAGAGAGGAGAAAGTGAAGATGACCGATGATCGGAAGAGACGGAGGGCTTGGAGGCAGATCACAGCCTCGTGAGTTCTTTGGTTTCTTGCAGAAGAGAGAGTAGCAGAGGATTGAGAAGAGGCAGAGGAGGATGAAGATGAAGCAGTTTTGAAAGTCAACGGTGAACATTGCTGCCATTGTTGCTCCGAAGTGAAAGACGAAGAAGATGAAACATAATTAAGAATCCCTTTATTTTGTTCTTGAAAACTGATAATGGACAGCTAGAAAAACCTTTTTTATTTTATTTTAATAGTATACACTCAGAAGTTGACTGACACTCGTGATCAAATTAGTAATATCGAAAAATTAAATATTTAGGCTTGAGAAGGAGAGAATCTTGATACATGCAACTCACAAGCCTAAACACATGCAACGTTTGCAAGGATTGCTTCATTCTTCTCTCACAATTTTGAGGATACCATAACAATTCACAGGTCAGTCAAATTCAAGAGGTTTTGTTAATAGGTTCCCAAATATATGATTTTACAAATTTCATGAACAACTAGTACATGTGATTCATAGACATAATGATTCATAGGTCAGTCAAATTCAAGAGATTTTAGTTATAACGTTCCACAAACAAAACCTCATACAGATGAAGATGAACAGAACAAGTAATCAAACTTAAACTTCTTACATGTTTTCCCGAGTTGAGAATAAGGAGATTAGATGTTAGAAAAGAAAAAAGGTTTTGGTTCGTGGAACGGGAGTGCACTTAAGCGGCTGAACCATAGTTAGGCTCATTCCTTCAAAAGTCTCTTCCATATTGACTTTATCTCCTTTGTTTCTCCAGTCAAAGCACTGCACCATCACTCCTATTGCGATTCCTACAAATGTATAAGCTAGATTTGATCCAGGACAGCCTCTCCTTCCACTACCAAAAGGCATGTACTTCAGTGCTTGCTCTCTCTCGTCTTCTTGCTCTGGTCTTAAAGAACCTAGAAACCTCTCTGGCTTAAACTCATTAGGATCTTCCCAAGAATCAGGATCTCTCATCACAGCATAAGCATTAATAACAAGAATTGTCTTCTCTGGAATGTAGAACCCTTTGATCTCACACTTTTCCTGGAAGGTCCTTACCAAGAGAGGCGATGGTGTGTGTAATCTTAGCCCTTCTTTAATCACCGCTTGCAAGTACGGGAGGTTTGGTATATCTGTTTCTTGAATCAACCTTGATTTCCCTACAACGGAATCGATTTCTTCTCTCAGCCTCTCAAGAACGTTAGGGTTATTCATTATCTCAGCCATTGTCCATTGTGTTGTTTGCACCGAGGTATCAGTGCCTCCAACGAAAAGCTCCTGCAGTGTGACAAGACTCAAGAACATTCTTGTTGGAATCATCAAATGAAATCAACATAATGAGAGGAACATTTACCACGAAAAACGACTTTATATGATTCCTAGTGATCATATACTCTGCGTTTTCGTCTCCATAAGTTGCCATCAACATGTCCATCATATCCATATCTTGATCCTTGTCCAGTTTCTCTTTGTGTTCCACAAGAATCCTCTCTAGCAGCTCACTGAATCTGTTGGAAACACTCATTATATCCTTCTTGAATAGTGGGATCCCAAGCTTCTCAAGCGGTCTGCGAAGTATAGCCGCCAGGAAAATCTTCTTCGTCAAGGCATATGATTCATTCACCAAGCCCCTGACTCTCTCTGCCTCACCGTTCTCCTCTGAAAAACTCCTTCCCATGCTCATCCTGCACAAGATGTTGTTCATGAGAATCATCGCTTCCTTAGCGATCTCCACCTTCTCATTCTTCCTCGCCTTATTGAGAATGCTCCCGTAAAACCGTTGCAGCTCTTCAGCACGAACACCTCGTGACCGCTCCAGCGCCTGCGGTCGGAGCAGCTTAGTGGCCATGAGCTTCTTCATGAACTTCCAGTAATCACCATAAGGAGCGTTGACGATGCCGGAAGATCCAAACACTAGGGACTCATCAATCGCAGCAGCTCCGCGAGAAGAAACGTTCACGTCGTGGGCCCTGAAGATCTCATAGGCCATAGAGGCGGAGGAGACGAGGATGATGGGGACACTGAAGATGCGGATATGGAGGAGAGGTCCATACTTGGAGGACAATTTCTGAAGAGACTTGTGGGTTAGGGAAGAGAGGAGAAGGTGAAGATGACCTATGATCGGAAGAGATGGAGGGCTTGGAGGCAGATCACAGCCTCTTGAGTTCTTTGGTTTCTTGAAGAAGAAAGAGTAACAGAGGATTGAGAAGAGGCAGAGGAGGATGAAGATGAAGCAGCTTTGAAAGTCAACGGTGAACATTGCTGCCATTGTTGCTCCGAAGTGAAAGACGAAGAAGATGAAACATAATTAAGAATCCCTTTGTTTAGTTCTTGAAATATGATAATGGACAGCTGTAAAACCTTGTTTTATTTTATTTTAATAATATACACTCGGATCAAAGTTAACACTCGTGATAACATTGGTAATATCGATAATTAAATATTTAAAAGTTCATATCCTCTTAAGCTGACACGACAAGGCAACTAAACTGAACAATTCAAGATTGACTTGAATCTGGGAATATGCAGACTAGAAGTTAAAGAGTTGAGTTCGAGCCATGGTTAAGTTCATTCCTCCAAGCGTCATTATTATTATTATTATAATCTTTGAAGAAGATGAACAGAACAAATGTAAGCGAATTTCTTACATGTTATTTTCAGAGTTGAGTGTCAGGAGTCTCGAGATTAGAAATAGAAAAAGGTTTGGTTCGTGGAACTGGAGTGCACTTAAGTGGATGAACCATGCTTAGATTCATTTCTTTAAAAGTCTTTTTCATGTTGACCTTATCTCCTTTGATTCTCCAGTCAAAACACTGTACCATCACTCCTATTGCGATTCCTACAAAGATATAAGCCAGGTTTGATCCAGGACAGCCTCTTCTTCCACTCCTGAAAGGAATATACTTGAGTGCTTGCTCTCTCTCGTCTTCTTGTCCTAATCTCGAAGAAGCTAGAAACCTCTCTGGCTTAAACTCATTAGGATCTTCCCAGGAATCAGGATCTCTCATCACAGCGTAAGCATTAATAACAAGAGTTGTCTTTTCCGAAATGTAGAATCCTTTAATCTCACACTTTTCTTGGAACGTCCTTACCAAGAGAGGCCCAGGCGGGTGCAATCTTAGCCCTTCCTTGATGACCGCTTGCAAGTAAGGAAGCTTTGGTATATCCGTTTCTTGAATCAACCTTGATTTCCCTACAACGGAATCGATTTCTTCTCTTAGTCTCTCAAGAACGTCAGGGTTGTTGATGATCTCAGCCATTGTCCACTGTGTTGTCTGCACCGAGGTATCAGTGCCTCCAACGAAAAGCTCCTGTATGAAGAGAAGACTCAAGAACATTCTTGCAAGTAATTTTTGTTGGGAATCATCAAATGAATTCTACATAATGAGAAACATTTACCACGAAGAACGACTTGATATGACTCCTAGTGATCTTATACTCTGCGTCTTCGTCTTCACAAGCTGCCAATAATACGTCCATCATATCCTTACCTTGATGCTCCTCGCGCAGCTTCTCTTTGTGTTCCACAAGCATCCTCTCTAGCAGCTCACTGAATCTGTTAGAAACTCTCATTATATCCTTCTTGAATAGTGGGATCCCAAGCTTCTCAAGCGGTCTGCGCAGTATAGCCGCCACGAAAATCTTCTTCGCCAAGGCATACGTTTCATCCACCAAGCCTCTGACTCTCACTGCCTCACCGTTCTCCTCTGAAAAACTCCTTCACATGCTCATCCTGTACAAGATGTTGTTTATGAGAATCATCGCTTCCTTAACGATCTCAACCTTTTCATTCTTCCTCGCCTTATTGAGAATGCTCCCGTAAAACCGTTGTACCTCTTCAACACGAACATCTCGTGACCGCTCCAACGCTTGTGGTCGAAGCAGCTTAGTGGCCATAAGCTTTTTCATGAACTTCCATTAATCTCCAGAGGGAGCGGTGAAGAAGCCGGAAGATCCAAACACTAGGGACTCATCAATCGCAGCAGCACCGCGAGAAGAAACGTTCACGTCGTGGGCCCTGAAGATCTCGTAGGCCATTGAAGCAGAAGAGACGAGGATGATGGGGACACTGAAGATGCGGATATGGAGGAGAGGTCCATATTTGGTAGACAGTTTCTGAAGAGATTTGTGGGAAAGAGAAGAGAAAAGAAAGTGAAGATGACCGATGATCGGAAGAGACGGAGGGCTTGGAGGCAGATCACAGCCTCGTGAGTTCTTTGGTTTCTTGAAGAAGAGAGAGTAGCAGAGGACTGAGAAGAGGCAGAGGAGGATGAAGATGAAACAGTTTCGAAAGTCAACGATGAACATTGCTGCCATTGTTGCTCCGAAGTGAAAGACGAAGATGAAACATAATTAAGAATCCCTTTGTTTAGTTCTTGAAAAAAAGATAATGGACAGCAAGAACCTTGTTTGTTATTTTAATAATATAAACTCAGATCAAAGTTAACACTCGTGATAACATTGGTAATATTCACATCTTCTCAAGCTGTAAACTGAACAATTCAAGATTAACTCACAGTGTAAGCAATGTCCCTCACTAGAGTCTTTTGAATGCTTTCTCGCAGATATGGAAGACGCTCTTCCTTTTCCTCGTTTAAAAACTTGTTTACTAACACATAATAATCAATCTATTAGTGAAGGGATCCCGTAAAGAAAAGTCTACTATTCCTAAACCAAGTAATTTATTCTGGTTATGTAAAGTGTGAACTGTCAAATATGTTGAGAAGAAGAGGTTTTGTTGATACGTTCCCAAAAATATGATTTAATAAATTGCATAAACAACTAATACAATGTGATTCATAAACATAATTTACTCACCAGTGGGAGGTTTTGTTACAGGGATTGCTCTATCTTCTGCCACGATTTGCCTCAATTACCGAACTTGAAAACCGAAAGTCTAGTTAACTAAGTAGCTCACTTGAAACTGGTGGGAATCTGCAGATTATTAGTTGAAGAGTTTAGAGTTCGAGCAACCAGAGTGCATTCAAGGGGATGAGCCATGGTTAGGTTCATTCCTCCGATAGTCTCTTCCATTTTGACCTCCCCTCCTTTGATTCTCCAGTCAAACCCCTGCACCATTGTTCCAACGGCAGTTTCTACAATGATGGAAGCTAGATTTGCTCCAGGACAGCCTCTCCTTCCGCTCCCGAAAGGAATGTACTTCAGAGATTGCTCTCTTCTTTCATCTTCTTGCCATGATCTTGAAGAAGCTAGAAACCTCTGTGGCTTAAACTCATGAGGATCTTCCCATGAGTCAGGATCTCTCATCACAGCATAAGCATTAATAACAAGAAGTGTCTTATCCGGGATGCAGAACCCTTTGATCTCACACTTTTCTTGGAACGTCCTTACCGAGAGAGGCGATGGTGGGTGCAGTCTTAGCCCTTCCTTGACCACAGCTTGCAAGTAAGGAAGGTTCGGTAAATCAGTTTCTTGAATAAGCCTTGTTAACCCAACTACTGAAACGATTTCTTCTCTCAATCTCTCAAGAACCTTTGGATTCCTAATGATCTCTGCCATTGTCCACTGTATCGTTTGCGCCGAGGTCTCGGTTCCTGCAAGGAAAAGTTCCTGCAGTGTACAAACGTTTTCTTAATCAGTCATTGCAATTATGATTTCCAATATATCCAATACCTAACGAGAACATCATTTTACCACAAAAAGCGACTTGATATGACTCCTAGTGATCTTATACTCCGCATTTGCTTTCATAGACACCCTAACGATCTCCGTACCGTGGTGCTCATCCACATTCTCTTCGTGTTCCTGAAGAATACTATCTAGCAGCTCGTCGAATCTTTGAGAAGCACACATTATATCCTTTTTGAAAAAAGAAACACCATGCTTCTGGAGAAACCTAAGCAACATGTTTGCAAGGAAGAACTTCTTCGTCAAGGAAACAAACTCTGTCACCAAACCCCTGACTATCTCTGTCTCACCTTTCTCCTCTGAGCAACTCTTCCCCATGAGCATTTCGTAAATGCTGTTGTTACTGAGCTTCATAGCCTCCACAAAGATCTCAACACTCTCGTTTTTCATCGCCTTATGGAGCAGGCTTGCGTAAAACCGCTCTAGCTCCTCTGCACGGACACCCCGTGATCTCTCGAGTGCTTGCGGTCCGAGCAGGTTAGTGACAATGAGTTTCTTCATGAATTTCCAGTAATCACCATACGGAGCGTTGATGAAACTTGAAGCTCCAAAGATAATGCAATCCTCGATCTGGGGGAGGCCACGAGATGAGACGATCCTGTCGTGAGTCCTGTGGATCTCATATGCCACTGATGCTGAGGAGGCGACGACTATGGAGAAACTGAAGATACGGAGATGAAGAAGTGGTCCATACTTGGAAGAGAGCTTCTGAAAAGATTTGTGGATTAGGATGGAGAGAAGAAGGTGAAGATGGCCAATGATGGGCAGAGACGGAGGACTCGGAGGCAGATTACAGACAACCTTTGGTTTCTTGAGGAAGAGAGAGTAAAAGATGATCGAGAAGAGGCACAAGAGGATAAAGATGAAGCAGTTTTGAAAGTCAACGTTCATTATTGCTGCCATTGTTGCTCAAAATGAAGAAGCAGATGAAACAGAGTACACTTGTATCAAGGCTCCATCAATATACGTGAATTATCAAGATTTTTTATTACCTAAATAAAAAAAAAAAATTACGTTTTGGAAGAACGTGCAATATTAAATGGAAAGCTGAAGTTCTTTGCCGACACTAGTGATCAAAAGAAGAGAGAATAACAGAGGAATTAGAATAGAAACAACAAAAGAGTATTAAGATGAAGCAACGCTGATCATTGTTGCTCAAAGTGAAAGAGGCAAATGAAACAGAGTATTCTCTTTTTGGAAGAACGTAAATGATGAACTTTTATTTATTTAATAAATTATAGTAGTACTACTCAAGCTCCTCGTGAGACCCGTGATCAGATTTATCATGACTCTTGTCTTCATTTCCCAAGGTTACAACTAAGATTCCACATGTATTGTAAGAGCTTACGACTAAACTAATTGCAGGCACTTTTTTCAGAATCATCTAATATAGAAATATCCATGTCATATGCTTAACTAGCAAGACAAGGAAACTGCACCCGAGTCTGAATTACTGATACGTTACCCAAAAAGTACAATCAGAACAAGGTCCTAGTGATCACCAAAGACCAACAAACCTTTCTTGCCTAATACATAAAAGACTCGCAGTTTCTGAAAACTTACAGTGCTTCAGCCACTTGATTTGTTGATAATGACTAAAACCAGAGAAGAAATCTCCTTTTTCTCTTTCACTCCGTCAACAGAATAATCCATAAACCCTAAACAAACGAAAGGTTTAAAGTCATATCAACCATCCGTGGGTTAGTACAAAATAGAATCCCTTGGAGGATCAAGAAAACTAGATTTCAAGAAAGTAGGACTGGTAATATCCAAGCTATGGATCTGGATCTTATGTGCATGGAACCAAAATATTTCTATCAATAAGCATTTGATCTAGCAAGTCATCTAAAAATTCGCAGATTTCATATTGATAAGATATTTAGAGTTTGACAATAAGAAACAAGAAGAAAAAAAAAACACTATGAATTTAATACGTTACTACGGTACTCCCCTAACCTAGAGAAATAGCTACTACTCATTCTCCTTGTTGCAATAATACGTTACTACGGTACTCCCCTAACGCCCATATCGGGAAAATGTTTCGATACGCAGCGTATGTTATCATGCAGTTTCTGTTGAAGACTCCCATTAATTCCTGTGAGAGAGAGCCAAGAGATTAGTTATCTAGTTAACAAAGAGACTCGCGGTTGATGCAACTTGTTACCTGTTGTGGGAAATCACCATTCTCCATCTGAGCATTAATCAAGTATCTTGCAGCACGGTGTAGTGGCTTTCCATCTACCTCAGCCTAACCACATACACATAAACAGATATAAGTTTATAAATGAATAAGGAGAGAAAAAGAATGAGCAATCGCAAAGCACAATAAACTGAAGTTGAATGTTTCTTTAGGAATTCACTCACTTGCCCAGCACTAATGAGCGTTAGCAAAGCCCATGCTGTATTCACGACATGAGACTTGTTGCCTTCGAGGTTTGAATATACCTGTTCATAACACACACACAAAAAAAACGATTCATCATGTCATAATAGGTTGAGTTTAACTAGTGAACATACAAAGTCAGTAGGTTTAATTAATGACTAACCTTGTCTTGACATGAAAGATAGCTTTCTCCCCATCCGCCCGAAGGATGTTGTTTCGACAGTAGAAACTCACAGGCTTTGGCAACATGTGGAGAGTTTTTCAATGTTTTTCCAACAGCTGCCAGGGCTTTCACTCCGAACCACGTACCATACGTGAAGCAAACACTCCAGGATCCATACCTAGGGAAACATCACATGTTATAAGACATAAACCAACTAGAAGATACACCCATAATATAAGAGAAAAAAAGGAAATGTAACTCTCTAAATAGTTTGATCATGACTAGAGACAAACCATGAGCCATCTGCTGCTTGATTAGATTCAATGAACTTAACCGCCTTCTCAATGCACTCATCTACATCCTTTTTCCGATGACCGGGATAAAGCTTTCGAAATTCTTTCAAAGCTTGGATAGCAGCTGACGTACATTCCACATAACTACAGACCCATTATAGCGCATCAAGGAAAACTTCCAAAACATAAAGTATGATTAAATGGAAGATGTCAGCGCCTTACGTATAATCGATAACAATATCGCCAAAGGTTTCTGCTGGGTTGATTAGCTGCCAACAGAAATAAGAAAACGTTTCACTTACAACTGAAGCAAAAAGGATTAAGGTACATATGTGTTTTAACCACTTCAACTGTACACATCTTTGTGAACATTACTGATCTATATCCGGGTACATAGACATTACCTCCAACCAAGGGTATGACCTTGTGAGCTCATATGTTGCGAAGCCTCCATCTGCATTCTGTAATCAGACAAGGAAAATGTTTTGATTTGCGGAAAGAAGACCTGTGACTGATCAAATACACTACAACTACAACCAATAGTGTTGATACAAGTATTGGAAACAAAATTTAACCTGTAATGAAATGATAACATTAACAGCATCATATAACTGGTTTGTATCTACTGGTTCACCAACAATCTCCTTGGGAACTTTGGATAGCAAAAGAGCAGCCTGAAGAGGAGATAACAAACACTTTATTACCAGAAAAAAAATCATGAAAATGTAACTCTGGCACATTATTATTACTTTAAGTCCTTCTGCGGTGCAATCGGAGATAGGCCAACCGTGATCTGCTGTTGAGAAAGGCCAAGCCCCTTTAGATATGTGGCGATACCAGTAACTCAGATCTCCAGGGCAATCCTCTAACACCTATTCCAAACTATAATGAGGGAAATGGAACATCCGGAGAAACTCGATGATCTTTCATTAACTGAGGATCGCAAACCTGAGAATTCTTGACATATGAATGTGCTTTTTTCAAAACGGGCCCATGTTCTTCAAGAAGGTTGGCTGCCAGGATAGCTTGAACAGCAAAACCCGTATCCCATAGCTGGTTTCCGTTATAACCCTGACAATAGCTGCTGTATTAGAGCTAATGGTTCAAAAGGCATAGTATTTATACTGGTTCGGCAGTCACTTTCGTTCATCTACCTAACATAATCATATAGACGGTACCTGCATCTTCATTCCATCGTCAGCTATCCAGAGATAGTCATGGATTCGTGGTAGGTGCAATTTGAAAGCCTCTGAGTTTGGGTCCTCTACCCAACAACAAAGCATATTTAATACCTGTTAAAACAGCACAAGAACAAAGACGATGAAAGTAGAGGATTCAAAAACACGAGGTTTAAAATAACAATGGACATGCGGAAATGGTACAGAAGATGTCGAGGAAGTTTGATTTCCATACCTTATTCACGGGTCCTATGCAAATGTACCTTGTATTCTCATCTTCGTAATGAATATGTTCTAGTGTGGTTCTTAGAGCCTTTTCTCTCAAATTTGCACCCGGCCATCGCATTAGAACAGGCTCAACAATCTTGTGAAGTGATGCCCAAAGAATATCTTGCAGAAGTGGGTGTGGGTAGTACAAATCCTCCTTCAATAGAAAAGCAATTGTCAGCACAAAAACAGTGGTCTTTACAGAAAGCACGTAAGTTATTTTAAGAGATTAGCTAATGTGGTAGAATAGTTACGAAAATCACAACCAATTCCACGAACCGTTGCACAAAGGTTACGTGCTTCATTCCAGTCGATTTCATGATATGGTACAGTGAAAAGCTCCTTTCTCAGTGATAAAACAGTGGGCGTTATGGGACCCACAAACCTTTTCCCATACAAATACGACATCGGCAAGTACACCATCCGACAATGACACCACATCCTTCCTGCAGCATTCAAAAAATTCTTATGCTGATCAGCTGATGCTCTACTGTGCACTATATCTATGTACATAAGAACTAGAGAACAAGCTGCATCAAAAGAAAACCATATCCATCTTTTTAAATGCACAAACAGCTAAAACAGTAGAAAAGTGTGCTTTGAACAAGCATGCGAAGCAGAATAGATTGCAATCTATAATCAGATGAACAAATTCTTTTCCTAAGGCATCATGGAGCTCATTTTCAAGCAGGGTATATAACTATATAAAACCCAATCAATTTTATCAACTATATAAAACTCATTTTCAAGCATGGAGGACATAAAACAGATACCGGCACTTTGGTTTCCTGTGCTCCATATTATTGAATTGCCACTAAACCAAGAACTGATTATGCGAGTAACTTCATTTGTATGAACACTGGGAAAATAAAGAACTTAAACACTATCTAAGCTGTGAGAGTCGAAAGCACATGGAATTTTCGTTCAACAAATATTTTATGAGCACCTGGATGGATTGGCAGGAAATACGGAAGAAGCCATATCTCAGGTGGCAGTGGGTTATTTCCAGACCATTCAAAAGCTCCGAGTACCTTTATTCACAGATCCAACCAAATATATGAGTCAAGTAACAGAAACATTCATATGGTTAACTTATAAAGACAGATAGAGGTCAAGATTTCAGTACAGATAGCCACATTTTCCCCCAAGATGGGATATTGGTAGCACCACCATGGTTTAGTATCCAGTCTCGCCCTTTCTCCATAGCTCCATCTCCATCGTTAGGTCCTTCTCCAAGTAACCTCAAAGTAACATAGCTCAAGACAGACCCAAACATGGTGCTGGGGCCTTCAATATGTAGACCCCAACCTCCGTCCTCATTCTGAAACCATAACAGTATCGGAAAGTAGAAGAAGGAACTCTTTCAAACATAACAGTATTGAAACACACACAATAAAGCAAACACAAGAAGACAGAATTATAATAAAGATGGGACAATTTTTCCTGCCTGGTGATTATAGAGATAACGGCGCATCTCTTGTCTATGTTGTTCCGACAATACAGTATTCAGGGCTCCAGTAATGAAAAGTGTAATTATCTGGAATCATGTAATGCAGAATTAGTTTCCATCAAAACTTGCAAAAGGAATCTCACAAAGTTTATGAACTAACCAGTCCTGGTAGAAGAAACATAGGACCACCATAATCCCCTGGCCAGTGCCCGTCATGCGCCTGTATCGTTGAATAGAAATCTAATCCCCTCTTTAACGTGCTTTCCACCATCTTCTCTGTAAGATCATCACTGTTCTTGATTTTGACTTGAGGTAAAACTGGGCTGATCAAGCTTTCTCTTGAGAACTGCAGAAAGGAGGTGACAGAGAGAGATAAAGCAAAGAAAAGCTTGAATATCAGAGAATTGTAGCCAGTCCAAGGAGGACCATATATCAAACCCCTGATGAGTGATCAAAGGACAGACATCAAATAATGGAGGAGAAAGTTATGGACTTGGGCCAAAAGAGACTACAAACTACTTAAACAATGAAAGTAAAGAGAAGCCTTCACAGAATTGTAGCAAAAAGTTAAACTGTTCATGCTTAAACTAGTCAGTGATATGAGAAAACGATGAACTCGCTCTCTCTCTCTCTCTCTCTCTCTCTCTCTCTCTCTCTCTCTCGTAACGCATTCCTAAGTGTCAGTGACCAAAAACGATGGTCTCTACACAAGTTCCTCAAAATTCATGACCCCAGAAAGAAAAACGAAGGGAGAATAGATTGTCTGAAGGCGCATAAGCAGATCGGAGCTGTGTTTCTTCACGAATCGGTTCTCTGTAAAGGACTTTCTCGCCTCCTCGATGTCAGCGAGCTCCTGTGGAGTCCGAAGCTTCGGATCAAACTCCCAAAACTGCCTTCCGACGTGATTATTCGTGGTTCTCAGCCATGGACTACTTCCCTCGGCGGTCTTCAGCTTCCACATACGGAATCGAATCGGAGGAAACAGCTGATCGAGGATCAATAGTTAAAAATGTTTGAAACCCAAAAAAAACAAAAACAAAACGAGAATTGACGGATATTACAAGTTACAACAACAAAGTGTTCTTCCTTGTATTTCAGTAATCAGTACAATATAAACCATATTAAATTAAACCGCACTAAACCGATAAAATACATAATGTTGTTTACGGTTTCACACAATAAACCGAAACAAAACTTGGAAGACTTGGGCACACGGAAACATAAAAATGCAAAGCTTCCTTATTACTTGAACAAAACCTTACGGACCACTTTGATTACACTTGTAACTCACGAGCTACGATTCGAAGTTAAAGGGATTGTGGTTCGAGCAACAGGAGTGAACTTAGGAGGATGAGCCATAGTCAAACTCAGTCCTACAACAGCCTCTTCCATGCTAACCTTATTATTACCATCTCCTTTGATCCTCCACTCAAATCCCTGCACCATCATCCCGACCGCTGTTCCAAGAAAGACATAAGCCAGATTTACTCCAGGACAGCCTCTCCTTCCACTCCCGAAAGGAATATACTTAATAGCTTGCTCTCTTCTCTCTTGCTCCTCCCCTGTTCTTGAAGAATCTAGAAGAAACCTCTCTGGCTTAAACTCATCAGGATCTTCCCAGTAATGAGGATCTCTCATCACAGCATAAACATTAACAGCAAATGATGTCTCCTCCGGTATGTAAAACCTTCCCATCCTAAACCCTTCTTGGGAGATTCTTCCAAAGACGGTTCCAGGCGAGTGCAGTCTTAGTACTTCCTTAACCACAGCTTGCAGATAAGGCAGATTTGGTAGGTCTGTTTCTTGTATCAGTCTTGTTTTCCCCACAACCGAATCGATTTCTTCTCTCAGCGTCTCAAGAACGTTGGGGTTGTTAACGAGCTCAGCCATTGCCCACTGTGTTGCTTGCGCCGATGTATCCGTACCTGCAAATAAAATATCCTGACAAGTTGCAACAAAAAAAAAAAAAAACGTTTCTTCATTAGTCACAATGGTTTGGATTCTCAATGAAACCATCTGATCGATGTGAGGAAGAACATTTACCGCGAGCAACGTCTTGATATGGTTCCTAGTGATCTTGTACTCTGCGTTATCGTCTCCATAAGCTTCCAACAACGCTTCCATCAAGTCCGTTCCGTGAATCCCGTCCTGTTTCTCTTCATGCTCAACAAGAATCTTTTCGAGCAGCTCATCGAATCTGTTGGAAACAAACATCATCTCCTTTTTAAGAAGTAACATTACAAGCTTCTTGAACGGTCCGCGCAACACGGATCCCAACACAATCTTCTTTCCCAAGGCAAGCGAGTCGCTAGCCACGGCTCTGACTCTCTCTGCCTCACCGTTATCCTCTGAACAGCTCCTCCCCATGGTCATCTTGCATATGCTGTTGTTGCTGAGCTTTATCGCTTCGTTAATGATCTCGACGTGCTCCTCCTTCGCCGCCTTATCGAGCAGCCTTGTATAAAACCGCTCTAGCTCACCTGCACGAACGCCTCTTGACCGCTCGAGTGCCTGTGGTCCGAGCAGCTTTGTGACGAGAAGCTTCTTCATGAACTTCCAGTGATCTCCATAGGAAGAGGAGATGAAGCTTGAAGATCCGGCAAAGAGAGAATCTTCCATAGGAGGAGGACCACGAGAAGAGATGCTCGCGTCGTGCGTCCTAAAGATCTCGTAGGCCACAGAGGCTGAGGAGACGAGGACCATGGGGACACTGAAGAAGCGGAGATGGAGGAGTGGTCCATACTTGGCTGAGAGTTTCTGAAGAGACTTGTGGGTAGGAGTAGAGAGGAGAAGGTGAAGATGACCGATGATTGGGAGAGAAGGAGGGCTCGGAGGCAGATCAAAGCCACATTTTGAGCCGCTTGGTTTCTTGAAAAAGAAATAGTAACAGAGGAGTGAGAAGAAGCAGAGGATGGTAAAGATGAAGCAGTTTTGAAAGCCAAACATGATCATTGTTGCCGTTCTTTCTCAAAGTGAAGAGGCAAATTACAAAACGGAATTCTCTTATCAAGAATCAGTCATGGCTGTTTTTTACATAGCACTATGAAAATTTATCTATTTCTTGGGAACAAGAGGTCTCAATTTAAAGTACCTAGCAACACTCTAGATAAGTATGGAGAAAAAAGTATATGAGACTATGATTAGATGTTTTGAATTTAGATGCTCAAATCTTGGACTAATCTGCACATCTACATTGTTTCCTCGTCTACTCTATGCTTTATTTCTTCCCTAGCAACAGTTTATTGGAGAACTTGTTTTCTAACTAATAGTGCATCCAATAAGACTAATTACATATCTAGTAAGCAATCTCTGTTATCCAAAAAGAAATAAAAAGCCAAACTATGATCATTGTTGCCGTTCTTTCCCAAAGTGAAGAGGCAAATTACAAAACAGATTTCTCTTATCAAGAATCCAATTTCAAAGTAAAGACTAAAGCAGCCCACATTACTGTTTCCTTATCCACTCTATGCTTAATTTCTTCCCTAGTAGACAAAGCAACAGTTTACTGTAAAACTTGTTTTGCAACTAATAATGCATCAAAAAAGACTAATTGCATATCCAGTAACCAATCTCTGCTATCTAATGGCATTCCGATAGTGAGAAGAATAATGTAAAAACCAAACCTTTAGAAACTTGCTTCTCTTCCCTGAAAATGTATGAATGGCATGCCGATGTAAACGCACTTCTCATGTTCGTTATTATCTGACTCCTCGATCCAGGCATGAGAGAATCGGCTTTGAGTCTGGCAAAATTTTGAACCGAATCAGACGAAGAGCAATCTGCAGATAGAATCATTGAACCGATTAGCGATACGGAATCGGTTCGGTGAAGGAAAAATAATTGAGCTCAAAATTCGCTGATTTTCAAGATGGGAAGAATCAGACAGCGATATTTTGTCGGAGAAGGAACAGTGGATCAAGTTTCTTCATCTCGAAAACCGTGTGAATTCAACTTTTGAACAGTGTACTTAACTACTGTGAATTAAACCAAAATGAACCGGGAATTTTTATCACTTTCGATTTTCGAATAGTACAACAATATACCAAACTAAACCGGGAAACGCAAAGCTTCCTTTATTTATTGCTTTGACAATCTTCAAGAGAGACTTTGAGAATAGCCAATGAGAGAGCTCAGTGGCGAACTGGGAAGCTACAGAGTCGAGGAACAGGAGTGCACTTAAGGGGATGAGCCATTGTCAAAACCATTCCTGAAAGACTCTCTTCCATGTTAACCTTATCTCCTTTGATCCTCCAATCAAAACACTGAACCATCATTCCAATGGCGGTTCCTAGAAAGATGTGAGCAAGATTCGATCCTGGACATCCTCTCCTTCCACTCCCAAAAGTAAGATACTTTAGTACTTGCTCTCTTACCTCTTCCTCTTGCTCTGCTATTTTGGAAGAAGCTAGAAACCTCTCTGGCTTGAACTCGTCAGGATCTTCCCAGTGATTAGGATCTCTCATTATAGCGTAACCATTAAGTATAAGTGTTGCCTTCTCCGACACGTAAAATCCTCCCATTTCACATCCTTTTTGGAGCCTCCTTCCAATGATAGGGACCGGTGGATACAGTCTCAGCCCTTCTTTGACTACCGCTTGCAAGTAAGGTAGGTTTGGTAGGTCAGTTTCTTGAATCAGTCTTGACTTTTCTACCACGGAATCCATCTCTTCTCTTAATCTCTCGACAGTTTTAGGGCTATTTATGATTTCAGCCATTGTCCATTGTATTGTTTGCTTCGATGTGTCAGTGCCTCCAAGGAAAAGCTCCTGCAAAGTTATAAAACGTTTATTAATTATTAGTAAGGTACGTTCATGAATCCACTTAGAAGTAATGTGAGGAAGATTTGTATTACGTACCACGAACAAGGACTTGATGTCGTCCCTAGTGATCTTGTACTCTGCGTTTTCGTCTCTTTTAACTTCCAACAAGACGCCCATCAAATCCATACCTTGATGATGATCATGATGCTTCTCTAGTTCCTCTTCGTGTTCCGCAAGGAACCTCTCCAGCACCTCGTTGTATCTGCCGGAAAATTCCATTATCTCCTTCTTAAACAGTGGGATTCCAAGCTTCTCAAGCGGCTTCCGCAACAAGGTTGCAATTAGAACCTTCCTTGTCGAGGCAATCGATTCTGTAATCAATCCTCTGACTCTCTCACCTTCACCGTTCTCCTCCGAACATCTCCTCCCGAGTATCATCTTGCAGGTGCTGTTGTTGGTGAACTTCATCGCTTCTTTACGGATCTCAACTGTCTCCTTCTTCGTCGCTTTATCGAGCAGATCAAAGTAAAACCGCTCTAGCTCCTCTGCACGTACTGCTCTTGACCGCTCGATTGCTTGTGGTCCAAGTAGCATGGTGACGATGAGCTTCTTCATGAACTTCCAGTAATCTCCATGGGGAGCGGAGAAGAAGCCGGTAGATCCGAAAAAGAGGGACTCGTCGATAGCAGGGAGGCCTCGAGACGAGATGTTCAGGTCATGTGCCTTGAAGATCTCGTTAGCCACTGAGGCAGAGGAGACGAGGACTATAGGGATGTTGAGGACGCGGAGATGGAGGAGAGGTCCGTGCTTGGATGAGATTTTCTGAAAAGACTTGTGGATTAGCGAAGAGAGAAGAAGGTGAAGATGACCAATGACGGGCATAGAAGGAGGGCTCGGAGGCAAATCGAAGTTAACATTCGGCTTCTTGAAGAAGAAATAAAAGAGACAGAAGAGTGTTGAGAAGCAAATGAGAATCGAAATGAAATAGTTTTGAAATTCAGCACTGATCATTGTTACTCAAGGTGAAGAAAATGCAGATGAAACAAGAGGTAGTCGTTGATCAAGAAGTGATCATGCTCTGCGTATATATAGGATATTGGGGGAAATGTGTTTTTTGTTTTGTAATTTTCTAGCAACTACTCTCTTTAAATATTAATAACGTAATGCAAGTTGACCCTAAAACAATCGCTCACGTGATAATAAACTTTCCAATAGTTTTTGTTTTTTTTTACAAAATTTTCCAATATACTGTAGTTTTATTTATAAAACATCAATGCATATGATGATGTATCAGTAAAAAATGATATGTTGTATTGATTTTAACATGAGAAATTTTAAGACATACCACGTCCAAGATAAATCGAATCTATCATCTAGTCGTATAGCATAGAAATCTCAAATCTGCATATGCAATATGTACAGATCATGAGAAAAGATAGTATAGTTATAAGAAACACAAGTTTAACTAGTCATACAAAGGGATTACAATTTCAATTGTTTAAAAGATAAATGTTGTCTTTATGTTTGTTTTTACATCTTTTTAGTTAAAATTTTATCTTCACATGATACTGTATAATATATATTTTTTTTTTATATACTGTATAATATTACTTTTGGGTTTTCGAAATATGTTGAGTGCATAGGTCTAAATGTCTATAGACATAAGAAATGAACCATACGAAATATACTTGCATTTACTTTTAAAAACGATATGACTTTGGTTTGGATTAGAAATCTTTTTTTCTTATGCTAAGTTTGGATTAGAATCCTTTAACCACCACTTTTGTCTTTTGTAGCTTGAGTTCTATATTAAGATATGAGTAATAAAACCTACGCAATTCCAAATGCTTATCATATCTATTTTCATACGGTTAAAAGTTAAAATGCAAGTAATTCGATTAGGTAAGCATTCTAAAATGAAAACAAAAACTTAGGTAAGCACTCGCATTCGCATGTCTCTTAAACTTTGTACACAAACTCTCACTCACATTTGTAGCTTGTCTTGTCTCGGACCTTTCGGTCACAATCTAACTATTATTCTCTATTCACACTTACGTGGTACTTGTCTCTGGCACAAATAATTGTTTTTTAAAAATTGACGAAAGGGAAAATTGATAAACTTTGGGCCCGCTCTTTACAAACATTTATCTTCACAAAAATGAAAATAGATATAGCCTTGCGGGTCCACATATTTGAGAGAAAAATCTGGCAAAAAAATGCTCACCACTTCTGTTATATCAAATTTTATCTTGTGTGTCATCTTACCGTGTTAATAAGTACAAATGTCAAGATACCTCTTTTGTTTTTTTAAGAGTTATTTAGCTACATTACATATCCTTCTTGGCAATATTTGGACCGTCCCACTCGGTCTCTTTACAACACTAAAAAAACATGTTCTATATAGCTGAGATATTAAATCTGCATGAATTAGTCCATCAAATTTGAAATTTGACGGTGCGTCGGTGACCGTAATTTGAATAATACTTGCTAATACAATTTGTATGGAGCTAGTTATTTGAAGTTTGTATACAGTGACGAACCCTACAAAACTTGTATACAGTCAGTCAGTCACGAACGTAACGTAACATTAACAAATTTTGTGCTTACAGTCACAAATTTTAATTAGCTCATAGGATTTTTTTGCATTGTCTTAATTTCCTTCTGTCTTTTCAAGTAATACATATATATATAGAGGATGAGATTATATGTGTGTTTGAATCTAATGTAATTGTTCAATTGATCTAATTAAAATGAACGTTCATGATATCCTCAAACTGTATAAGGTCGAGGAAGTACATTAAAAATGATTTTGAATACTTTTTGGGATATCTTTTATCAGTCACCTAAGACGAATAAGATCTGAAAGCAGAGGCTTCCTTAATTATACTACTTTAAACCATTTTCAAGAACCCTACGAACTTTTGGTACCATCTTCAGATTAATTAGAAGGCAAAGGGTTTACGCTTTCGAGAAACAGGAGTGCACTCTAGGGGATGAGCCATGGTTAGGTTCAATTCTCCAGCAGCCTCTTCCAAGTTAACCTCTTCTCCCTTGATCCTCCACTCAAATCCCTGCACCATCATCCCAACAGCAGTTCCTAGAAAGACATAAGCTAGATTTGCTCCAGGACAGCCTCTCCTTCCACTCCCGAAAGGAATATACTTGATAGCTTGCTCTCTTTTCTCCTCTTCTTGCTCTAATCTTGAAGAAGCTACAAGAAACCTCTCTGGCTTAAACTCATTAGGATCTTCCCAAGAATCAGGATCTCTCATCACAGCATAAGCATTAACTAAGAATGTTGTGTTCTCCGGTATGTGGAACCCTCTGATTTTACACTCCTTTAAAGAGGTCCTTGCAAAGAGAGGAGCTGGTGGGTGCAATCTAAGCACTTCTTTGACGACTGCTTGCAAATAAGGAAGGTTTGGTAAATCTGTTTCTTGAATCATACTTGTTTTCCCTACAACTGATCCAGTTTCTTCTCTCAATCTCTCAAGAATGTTAGGGTTGCTAATGATCTCCGCCATTGTCCACTGTGTAGTTTGCCTCAAACTATCAGTGCCCGCAATGAAAAGCTCCTGCACTTGTTGGAAAAAAAAACGTTTCTTAGTCATGAGGATAACTAAGTTAGTAGTGTTCGTTTGAATTCTTGATGAGAGGAAGAACATTGTACTATGAAAAAGGACTTAATATGGTTCCTAGAGATCTTGTACTCTGCGTTTTCATCTCGAAGAGCTTCCAACAATACGTCCATCATGTCTTCTTCACCTTGATGCTCGTTTGGCTTCTTCTCTTCGTGTTCCTCAAGAATTCTCTCCAGCAGCTCGTCGAATCCGCGGAAAACACTCAATATATCTTTTTTAAACAGTGAGATTCCCAACTTCTCTAGCGGCCTGCGTAGCAATGTTCCCAAGGCAATCTTCTTGAGCAAGGCAACTGACTCGATGACCAAACCTCTGGCTCTCTCAGTCTCAGCCTCATCACCGTCTTCCTCCAAACAACTTCTTCTTCCCATAAGCATCTTGAAGATGATGTTGTTGATCAGCTTCATTGCTTCCTTGCCGATATCAGCGCTCTCCTTCTTCATCGCCTTACCAAGAAGGTTCTTGTGAAACCGCTCTAGCTCATTCGCGCGGATGCCTCGTGACCTCTCGAGTGCATGCGATCCGAGCAGGTTTCTGACGGTGAGCTTCTTCATAAACTTCCAGTAATCTCCACGTGGAGCCATGAGGAAAGTGGAAGATCCGAACATGAGCGACTCATTTATCGGAGGGAGGCCACGGGACGAGACGTTGAGGTCTTGTGTCTTGAAGATCTCGTAGGCTATTGAGTATGAGGAGACGAGGACTATGGGGACATTGAAGATGCGGAGGTAGAGGAATGGTCCGTGCTTGGAGGAGAGTTTTTGGAAAGACTTGTGGATTAGAAGAGAGAGGATAAGGTGAAAATGACCTATGATGGGAAGAGAAGGTGGGCTCGGAGGCAGATCGAAGCCATGGTGGCGTGAGCATTTTGGTTTCTTGAAGAAGAGAGAGTAGCAGAGTAGTGAGAAGAGAGATAGGAGGATGAAGAAGACGAAACAGTTTTGAAATTCAACGGTTATTATTGCTGCCATTGTTGCTCAAAAGCGAAGAAGAGATTGATACATAGATCATTTCTCTTATCAAGACTTCAGAATCTAATGCAAAATTGTATTTTTTTAAGCTAGGATTCTGAAGTTGCGCAAAAATCGTTGTCAAATTAAATGATCCATACTTTTTTTGTGAATGCTTCTGATTAGTGTTAATTGCTTAAGGTGGTAACCAATTACTGTAAGACATTTGTCATTAGGTTTCAAATGGATAATTATAATAAATTCTTTTTTTTAAAACCCCATTGGTCATTGCCCCCGAGAAAGCCTAAAATTTCAGTTTCATGCCACTCACAATCTGCAAACCATTTTCCGTTCGGAGAAGCAAAATCGAGTGTTGTGTTGTGTTGCTGCTCTCTCGAATCGAATTGTAAGCTTTTTTTTTGAATCCTTCGATTTTGCTTCTTCTTCGGGTCTTTCGCGAATTTCCCAATTGTTTTGATTCTTCAGTTGCAGATGGAAGCTCTCTACGCCAAGCTCTACGACAAATACACCAAACTCAAGGTTTTCCCAGCAAGATTCTTCCGTTTAATTCTCACTTAATTTATGGGTTTGTTTCGTGTGTTTGCGGCGTTTCTGGAATTCGATTTGACTGTTCTCATTTCGATCTCCTTTTGCAGAAGAAGAAATTTTCCGAAATCGATGAGGTTAATAGGGAACAAGAAGAGAAGTTCCTCCACTTTGTTTCTGGTACCAATTTTCGACCTAATGTTTTTCGGAAGTTTCGTTATTTGTGGCTGAGCTCTTCCTTTTGCTCCGTGCTTCAAGTTTAATCTCACCAGTGCTGGCTTCTCTGGCGTTAGGTTAGATTGCAAATTGCAACGCACATTTTGGGTAGACAGTAACTCTGAATCCAAAACTGCTAAAATCAATTGCAAACACTTGGAAATGTTTCAACTTTGGAATTATATAGCATCGATGGGACTCTGAATCCTAAAATTGCCAAAATCAATTGCAAACACTTGGAAAATGTTTCAACTTTGGAATTATATAGCAATTGGGTTTCTTTCTTTTTGTATGTTGTTTATTGCCTACAAAATTGGAGACTTTCGAAGACGTTCTTAGTCTGTATCTCTCTCTTTTCTGCTTTTGCAGCTTCAGAGGAGTTGATGCAGCATTTGAGAAGCGAAAACAAGGATCTGCAGGGGATGGTGGAGAATTTGAGGAATGAGATAACTTCAATCAGGCATGTACTCCATATTACTTTCTTAATTCTCCCTGACTTGCTTATGGATCTGGATTTATGTGGACAAGTTGGAACCTTGTGAATATAACTATATCAGTCTTGGTCCACAGATTTTCCAGGGACGAGGAGCGTCTTGAGTTTCAGCAGTGTCTTGTAGAAGAAGAACGAAAGGGTAAGAAGCTATCTTGATAATTGTTGCTCCTGTATTTGCATTTCGTGGAATGTTGTAGCCTTTCGAACGGAAGTGATTGACAATAGTTTATGGAGAGTGTGTTTTCTTGTTTGATGCATCAAGTGCTTTGGCCTTTTACTAATTGGGTGGAATTTTAACAGTCAAAGCACTTTCCGAGGAAGTTAGCAAGCTAAAAGAGCTGATCCAAGAGGGAGTTCCTCACAACTACAAAGATCAAAGTGGAAAAAAACATGAGAGAAAGACTCCTGAATCTGCTCAAGTTACAACGAGAAGTATGAGAAAACGTAGCAGACAGTCAGAAGATGTGGCAGAAGCGGACATGGTATCACCTCACAGTAGCAAACGTCATAAATCAACGGTAAACAAAAAATTGCATTGCATCCTTTTAGTTCTGAGCTCGATGTTGCGCATCTTCCTTCACTTACCGAGTGAGTCATCAAATTTTACTTACTAATACTTTTCCGCTGCTTTTGTTTCAAGGAAACTCTCTTGGTTTCTCAACCACAATGCTGCAAAACAACCTACGATGGATCAAGTGATTCTGCTAGCTGTACATTTCAAGCCCTTGGCGAACACTTGCTAGGAATGAAATTAACAACTAACAATGAAGGCGAACAAGGCTGCATTATAGCCTCGCATCCATCAAGCGGTAATTTTTTTGGCATAAAGTTTATGTCACTGTATATATCTCCTCGTTGTTTTCAGTTAAAAAAACCTACGTTTTCCTGTCATTTACTTCAATTCGAAAGATTGATCATCCAACAGTTTTTTAGATCATAAGTCACCAGAAAAGCACCAATTTTGAATCTTTCTCCATGGCTTTTGACCATAACAGGTTTATCATTCAGCTTAACTATGGTAAATAACTCAGCTGGTGAAGAATCTGAGCTGCTCTACAAGGTTGTATCGCTGGGGACACTTGAGAGAGTGGCGCCGAAATGGATGAGAGACGATATAATGTTCAGCACACATATGTGTCCTCACTTCTTCGAAAGAGTCTCTCGAGTCATTAAGGTCCAGCATTGATGGGTATGTACGTCTCCCTCGCTAATCTTGTGTCGCCATCTTTGATAGCCTCTTAGTTTGATGTTTCTCAATAGGTTCAAAACTCAGGGAACTGTTCATGTATCTATTAGAAACGTATCCCTTTTTAACTTTGACATTGGCTTTAAATATCTTCTTGTGTCCTTCTGATGAAATCCAATTGTAACAAGATCTTGATTTGTCCTTGGATCTCCCATACTCTTTGATTTATTGTGCATTTTGTGAGATTTAAACACTTGAATAGCCAGTATATATAGGCATCATCACAGATTCACAAATTGTTATTATAAAGATAACGTATCTGTTTTGGCCGTTTGTGATGTAAACGCTTTATGATGATGGATCATCGATCTTACAAAACATGATAACTTTCACTTAACTTCAATTAGTTCAACTGTTTATTAGTAGAAAGTTCCACATCACATTCTTTTTAACATCAATCCACATAATACATTCAACTTTTTCTAATGTTACATTTAGAAAGAAAAAAAATTCTGATTTTCTTTTCTTATCCCAAGAAAAATTCCATGTTAAGTTTTTGTAAACAAATTTGATCATTCGAGAAAAGGAAGTAGCCGTTACATGGGTGCGTGAATTTCATTCATTTCAAATACACCGAAGAGCCGCTTTCTTCTAAATTATAAAGTTTGAAAAAAAACAAAATATTTAGGTTATTCCTTTTTGGGGTTTATTACTCTCGCTGCGACGTCGTTCCATCGGCCTCACACGTTTTATAACCCAGACCCACGTCTCTCTCTCTCTCCCTGGAAGAAGAGAACTAGAACGCTCTTCTCTCTTTTCTTCTACTTTGATCATTCTCCTTGAGCGAAAGCATTTCGATTTCAGAAATTTCGAGTGTCGTGTTTCAATTCTGTCAATTTAAGCCGAAAAGGGATGGCGGCGGTAAATGGGTACCAAGGAAATACTCCGGCGGAGGCAACACCGGCAGCCACCGGATCGAAGCAGCCTGCTCCTCCGACTAAGACCGTCGATAGCCAATCCGTTCTCAAAAGGTTCCTTATCTTCTACCTTTTCCGATCTTAGAATATTTCGCCTCCAATCAAAGGAATTTCTTTTTTGTCATCTTTATCCTCCCTTTGGTTATCATCGCTTCGATTTGATTTCTCCATGTTTATAGATTTCATGTTTCTTTCGCTAGATTAGATTTACAGCATTGGGCTCTCTACCCATATCCATTTCTTGTGACCTCTCTCTCTCTCGTTCCCTTCTGATTTTTTTTTGTTTCTCTCCTTGTCTACCAACTGTTTGCTAGAATTCCTCTTAGAAAACGATGCATTGCACGATGGTTTTCCTCATGTTGATACTGAATCAGATCTCAGTACTTTTATGTACTCTCTTTCTTGTTCAAGCTTTGATTCGTTTTTTCTTTCTTAGTTAAATCAAATTCATGCGTTTTCTAATCCATTCTTCGTCCGTCAACACAGGCTGCAATCTGAACTAATGGGATTAATGGTAAGCTATCTTTCCTTTTCCCTTTTTGTTTCTCTATGCAAAGAATCAAAACTGAACGTATTGATACAAAGTTAAACTCCTTATAATATGGTCTTTGATTTGATGTTTTATTCAGATGGGAGGTGATCCGGGGATATCGGCTTTCCCAGAGGAAGACAACATATTCTGCTGGAAAGGAACAATCACAGGAAGCAAAGACACTGTGTTTGAAGGAACTGAGTACAGGCTTTCACTCGCTTTCTCAAACGACTATCCTTTCAAACCTCCAAAAGTTAAGTTTGAGACATGCTGCTTCCACCCCAATGTGGATCTCTATGGCAACATCTGCTTGGACATTCTTCAGGTACATAACAACCATTTGCTCCTCTATGTGCTTGTTACTGTTAACACATATATCAGGGAAGCAGTATTTAAACAAAACCTGTTTTCACATTCTTTCTAGGATAAATGGTCATCCGCTTACGATGTGAGGACGATATTACTCTCAATTCAAAGCCTTCTCGGAGGTAAACTCTATGGCTGATATATGGATCTCTTTGGAGTTTTCTTATGAATCTCTCTCTGTTTGATACAGTGACTGAGTTTCCTTGTGTTTGTTGTTTTGGCTGATCAGAACCGAACATCAGCTCACCATTGAACAATCAAGCAGCTCAGCTTTGGAGCAATCAAGAAGGTAATCTGCAATAACAGTGATCAGATTACACAATCTCTGGTTTTCTCTGTTTTTGATTCAATAATGAATGTTCTGCTTATGTTTTGTTTTTGGTTTTGCTGCTGTACAGAGTATAGGAAGATGGTTGAGAAGCTTTACAAGCCTTTAAACGCATGATTCGTAAAAGCCTCTGTAACTGATTAAATCTCCCCTGACTGGGTTCAGCCATAATATGATTTTCCAGAAAAAAAAGTCACTGACTTTGGATCATGTCTCCTTTACTTTGTAATCTGAATTTGAGCCTAGTATTAGCAATGAAAACTTTTTTTTTTTTTTACAATTTCGAATCTCGCTCCTCTCTCAATCGCAACCAGTATGTTCCATACAAAGCAGATCAAAACTCTTTTGTTCAAAGTAACTGAGATTTGACACCATAGGCGCTCTGAAAATGATCCAGAAAAATCTCAACTTTTTAAAATAATCGAGAATCACGACTTCCCACGAGACAGAGGCATGTTCGATAAAAGTATTTAAACGAAAATCTCGAGATTTTTGTGTAGTGTGGCTCATCTCCCAACGGAGTTTGGATACGTCGATATCGGCCGGCATCGGGGAATGATGATGTCACTGTGATCATGCGGAGGAGGGAGAGAAGACGATGATGACGTGTTATTTATCTTAAAGACACTTTTGTCCCAAAGCCCATTAGTTTGGTGTTTCACCACCCATTGTTACAAAATGTTGCTGAGAATGTATATCGTCTTTTGGGCCCAGCTAATGAAACGACGCCGCTTCGTTCATACCCTGGCCGCACATCCTAGAAACCTTGGAAGTTAAAAACCCGCCGGAGTCTCACTGTCCCAAAAGTTTAGAGAAGCATTTTCGCAACATTGTTTCAGTTTTTAAAAAGGCGAACAAACAATATCTCACTCCACTTCTCTCGCGAGCTCAGATCTCTGATCTAGGGCTTTTCTCTTCTCAATCGTGTTCATCAACTAACCGGATATGTCGATCTCCGCTCAGAATCCGGATATTTCCGGCGATAGGCAATCCGGCCAAGATGTTCGTACTCAGAACGGTACACTCCTTCTCTCCCTCACTTTCCTATTTCGTATATTTGCATTCTCCCATTTCTGCTCATACTAATCTATTCTCTCTTTCTCTCATCCGAAATTTTATGTTCGATCTTAGGGTTTTTTTTTTTGTTTTGACGTTTACTGGTATGTAACTCGTGTATTTGATGACTCTATCTACAGTGATGGCTTGTCAAGCTATTGCAAATATCGTCAAGACCTCACTTGGTCCCGTCGGACTCGACAAGGTATGTACTCTTGATTCGACTGCTTTGTGACTGTTTGGGATTTATTGGTTTCTGATTTGCATTAGAGTCATATATCTCTTATATTCTTGGACTTAACCATTTTTAGTATTATTCTGAATCTGATTGACGGGAATTTTTTTGTTCTTCTCGTCCAATCTTGTATCATGCTGTGTTGGCTTGTTTTTTCAGATGTTGGTGGATGATATTGGTGATGTGACAATTACGAATGACGGTGCTACTATTCTTCGAATGTTGGAGGTCGAACACCCAGCTGCTAAGGTAATTGAATCATACTCATCATCGATGTGTGTTTATGCGTGTTATATAAATTATATGGTCACCCTGATCTCTGATTTTCTGCTTTTGTTGTGGACAGGTTCTTGTTGAGTTAGCTGAACTTCAGGATAGAGAAGTTGGTGATGGGACTACTTCTGTTGTTATTGTAGCTGCTGAGTTGCTCAAGGTTATTTTGATTAACTGTTGTCTATGGTTTTTTTTTCATTTTCTAGAGTTGTGGAGATTTGTCACATGGTAACTGCTTGATGATTAATAGTCTTATGCATATATTTGCAGAGGGCAAATGATTTGGTCAGGAACAAAATTCATCCAACGTCAATAATCAGTGGATACAGGGTAGGCTGAGACTTTGGTTTTTTATATAGTGACCTGCATTACATAAGTGTTTCCAGTAAGTTCATAATCTGTTTTACTGTTGACAGCTAGCAATGAGGGAAGCATGCAAGTACATTGAAGAGAAGTTGGTGAGCAAGGTTAGTATTGCTGTAACATGAGCATCTTTTTTTTGAATGAATACACACCGTTTGACGAAACTTTAATTTGTGTGGTCAAGTCTGTATGGTCTCTTTATACATAGTGGCTGTCTCTGCCCGTTCAATTAATTACTTGTTTTTTTCTTTTCAATAGGTTGAAAAGCTTGGGAAAGTTCCATTGATAAACTGTGCTAAAACCAGCATGTCCTCCAAACTGATATCTGGTGACAGCGATTTCTTTGCCAACTTGGTATGCTTCCAGATCTCCTTCCTTGGCAATCACGTGGAAATAAAGTGCATGCTTTGTTATTAAAACATTAGTGCTATAAATTTGTGTTATCTACTTCACTCCTTTGTAGCTTTTACTATTAAGGTCTGGGATCCATTTGATATTTTCTTGCAATAATACTCTGATTATTCATGTGGTTGACTAGTTAGAATCACATTTTTTTTCTTGAAGGTTGTGGATGCCGTTCTATCAGTAAAGATGACAAATCAGCGAGGGGAGATAAAGTACCCTATCAAGGTCTGTTCATACTCTGTCAAAGCTTCAAACATTAGATCTTGACTGAGGATGGTATATTTTTGCTCAAACACTTCTGTTTACCACATTTTAGGGCATCAACATTCTGAAAGCTCATGGACAAAGTGCAAAAGACAGCTATTTGTTGAATGGATATGCACTCAATACTGGTCGTGCTGCCCAAGGGATGCCATTGCGAGTGTCCCCAGCTAAGATTGCTTGCCTTGACTTCAATCTGCAGAA